GATCCTCGGGGGCGGCTCTGCGGGCGACGAGGGCTGGGTGGGAGGGCCGGACGGAGACGCGGGTGACCGAGCCCGGATCCGGGTTTGGCGACAAGGGCGGAGCGGGGGAGGTGTGTAGACCGGCCTTAGAATTCGGAGCCAGGGGCGAAGAGGTCCCGGGTTCACCCGGCTGGGAGGGCGGCGTCCGGGCTGAGAAGTGGGGGAAGGGGTCTCGGTGGCAAGTGAAGCTGCCTCTTGTCCCGAAGAGCCCTGCACCTTGACCCGTTCCTTCTGTGGACCGGACCCCAGACTCGAAAGGTGGGGTCCCTCAAAACCTTGAGGGCCCTCCTCACGGTCGCCAGCACAGTTTTAATCCGAATTTATTTAGTCGTCATCCCCGGCCCCAAGATGGGGGGGATGGTGGAGTGGGGTGGCCCGAGGAGGTGGCTCCGTCTTTCCTTTGCGACGCAGGTCTTTGCTTATCTCGACTTGGACTTGACCGCAAACAGACTCCTCCCTCCTCTCGTGGATTGTGTCCTTGGGATGCTCAAATGGTTTCTGCATCCACAGCCCTGCACACTCCTGGGAGCTTAGAGTCGGCTGGGCCCGGGACCAACTTTTTATTTTTATTTTATTTTTTGCTGTGTCTCCACTGGGAGGTTGTGTACACCTCGGTTCCTGAAAACTTGACTCCTTGCCAGGTGGCTGGTTTGGGAGGAAGGCTGACTGTTGAAAGTTCTGGCTGTGTCAAAGTCTCTGTGTGTGTTAGGTGGAGAGAGACGTGGGAAGCAGCCCCATCGGGGTTTGAAGTCTGACTCGTCCCATCACACGCGTGTGACAACGCCCCGGGCCCTTTTCTTCATCTGTTTCTCAACTCACATGAAGACCCTAGCGTGTTTCAAGGCATCTGGGGTGCCGTCACTTGTAAGGTGCACCGTTGTTTTGTGTGCTCGTTAAAATTGTGACAGGCCATAGGTGGTTGGATGCATCCTGGCGTAAGAGATGCTGACAAGAGAAAACACGCTCATCTTAGAAACGGTGACATGCAGGTTGACGGGCCCTGCTGTGCGGGATAAGTGAAGCAGTTTGTACAAGCACCTGGTGTGTAACAGATACTTAGGTTCGTTTTCATCTCGCTTCCTTTCTTCTGTTTTGCTTCTAGTTCTGCTTGTACAGAACATCGGATGAGACTTAATTCCTTTCTTGAGAAGATTACATTCTAAAAGCGGGCAATGTTGAGTGCACACTCAGATTACTTTCTAAAAGCACACAATGATGAGTGCGAACTCAGTAGCTACACTTAGTTGCCAGATCACTTGAGGACAGAACGTCTGCCTAGATAACTTTAGCAAATAGGAGAGAATTGGGTTTATTTGGGAAAAATTTCTGGAGATTCTTATTGTGCAATTTAAAGAACAACTAAGGGTCTCTTATGCAGAAGGAAAAAAGGGATTAATTATAACCGGTCATCACTCTGGTCAGTAGAATTTGAGCAGCGGGAGTGAGGCAGTAGTACTAGGTATGGGCCTCAGCCAGCTAAATTTGAAGAGAGTGTGGGTTAGAGTGTGGAAGGCCAGATGTGCGGCACAGCCACTGTGGTGGGAAGGCCCATGAAGAGGTTGCCCACCTGCGTCTTTCTCTCCTGCAGTTTTGCTGGTCTGAGGTTCTGAACGATCCTGTCCTCAGGTAGGTCTGCTGTCTCGTCTTACTGGAAGAATCGAGAGAAGGAAGGAAGGGTCCCGAAGAGATCTGGTTCCTTAATCCACCCTCACCAGTGCTTGCAATCCTCTTCCCACAGAACTGGAAGCTCTTTCTTCCTAGACTCCCAGGACTGTGAAGTCTTGAAGAGATCGTCTTGTTTAGCTTTCTGTTGCTACAGTCGTCTTGAATTATCCAAGTCATGTGATTAACTTGCTATTAAGGGTGTGAGAGGTCTGAGATGTAAACCAAGACAGCTTCTGTAGAGTGGTTTCAGACTACAGTGTTTAATACACAAATGCTTCTAAATCTGCAAACCTCTGCCTCCTTTTCCCATGCCACATTTCTAAGCCCACTTTCACTTGCACTAGAAAAAATAATAGCCACAGCAACCTTACCTAATAAACTGTTTTTTTTAAGGGGGTAGCAAATTATTTAGGCCCGAGGTTAATAGAACTAGAAGTGTTTTGTTTTCTCTGTTATCTTTTGGTGGTACATTACGTTAGGTGCTGAAGGTGATAAGTGTTGCAATGTTGATTTGAATTAAAAAAAAAAAAAAAAAAAGCAAACACACCAGGCTTTTCAGGGGAAGAAACAAAACCCCAGTTTGACAGCTTAAGAAAAAAGAGAAGGAATCCAGTTGAAGTGGAGAAGGAGAATAAAATGGAAAAATGAGAGATTTATTCCATGAGAAAGTTTAAGGATTTACTTTTTCACCTTTGAAGTTTTCTTTTCTAAGAACTATAAAGCAATACGAAATCTTTTTAAACATGTCAGGAGTTTCTGTAAATCTTTGAGGTCTTTTAGAATAAATAGAGCCAATATTTTTCAACATCAGAATTATGGTATTTTAATGCCAGAGAGTGAACTATACAATCCAGTCAGTCCCATGTCTTTGTTTGGCAAATGAGGAAATAAACCTAAAAGTTTCCAACCAATAACATCAGAAGGGGTACGAGAACCTAGGTCTTCCGACTGTGTGCAGTCTCCTTTCTTTTTGAGTCGGGGTCTCACTCTGTTGTCCAGGTTGGAGTGTAGTGGCACAATCATGACTCACTGCAGCCTTGGCCTTCTGGGCTCAGGCAGTCTTTCTGCCTCAGCCTCTTGAATAGCTGGGACAAGGCATATGCCACCACACCAGGCTAATTTTTTGATTTTGATTTTTTGGTGGAGACGAGGTCTTGCAATTTTCTATAGGCTGGTCTTGAATTCCTTTGCTCAAAGTGCTGGGATTAGAGATGCGAGCTACTACACCTGGCCTAAATCTCTTTTTTTGAAGCTCTGATTTTTTTTTTTGGCAATCTCAGTGGGTTGTTGAGAAGGTGATTACCCTGCGTAAAGGTGCTGCCTTCTTTTCCATGTGTTGGCCAAGTATCTGGGCCTGTTTTTAGAATCAGGGAAGCATTTATAAGTGTAATTTGGAATAGGAGACTCAACAGTGACCTTTCTGATACTAGTGTCTGTTGCCGTTGCATCTAAGAACCAATCTTTATTTCATAAATACGTAATAGCCTTGATCCAAATGTATCAATGTAGCCATAAGAAAGTAATTTGATTTTCTGACATCACACTTGGTTTTCCATAGACACATAATTGGGATATTCAAAATAGTTTCTCTGAGTACGGGGAACAATTTCATTTCACCAAAGGACAGATTTTTTGTTGCTTTAGAACCACTTTTTTTTTTTTAACATTATAGCATTTTTATATAATAACATTTTAAAAATTGGAATGTGTCTTGTAATTGATAATAACTTTCAAAAATTGGCAGCATTTTTTTCTTTCTCACTTGTACTTAATAGTAATTCTTAAAAATCAGAATTTTTATATTTGATGAAATATGGTATTTTATATTTGATGAAATATGGTACTTAGAACCTATTACATTTCATTTGTAAGTCAATATTAAATGAGTGTATACTTTCACATTGCAATAGTGGTGTTTGGGGGTAAGTGGCTGCTAAGCTATCTGCTGTATTGTAAAGTCCTCTAGGTGTGAACCACCATAGTCTGTGTATTGCATTTGCATAATGATACATATACATAATGATAAGTATACATGTGTTACATTCATGAGTACATGCATGAATAAATGAGTAACAGGGACACAGATTGGGAGATGAGTTGAAGGAGTAATTTCACGAGCAGAGTCTCAAATTATTGGTTAAGAGCATGGTAGTGGTCATAGAAGGCCACGGTTTGAGTCCCACTGGGCCTGGTACTTTTGACCACTGATGGCACTGTTCATCCTCCCAGCCATCTTCTAGATACTGTAATGTGGTTGTAGCTCTGGGGAAGAGGACTCAGTATTTGGCTGATTGGTACAAATCTCTCACCCCTGTTGAAAACACAACCTGTCTCAGGTGGCTCAGTCCTTTTTCTTCAGTGAATTTACTAGTTTGTCCTTTGTGGTTTTGTGTTTCTTCGTTTATTGTTTAGCTCTTTTACTGGGCAGGAGGCTTCTTGTGGGTGGGGCCTGAGTCCCTAGCCCTTGGCAGACAGCCTTTACAATGAACATATCAAAGCAGTTTGTTCTGCTCATTCTGTATCAGGAATAATCATGGTGATGAAATAGCTCTTAGTGATTGTAGCACTGGCTCTATCCCAGGCACTGTTCTGTGTGCTCTGTGTGGTATTAACTCAGTTCATCCTCACATCAGCCTGTTAATTTCCTCATTTTTGCAGTGAGACTGCTTCTACATATGTTTCATATGTTAAAAACTGATGAGTATATTGGTGCATACTATACGCTATATATAGACATGGATTAGTACGTTCTTAAATAAACATGTAGGTTGTGCATGAGGGCATTTATAAAACATTTCTAGTTGGGCTTATTGATTTTAAATATGAACTGTATGTTCTCTCTTTTTAGGAAGAGATTTACCACGGTGCTCATGTAGGGCTGTACACTCAATTTTGGGAGTGTACCAAGCATTTGACTACCCAGTTTACAGGTATCATCTCATATTAACATCACAGCTTCTCTTGGGCAGCTGTTATTCCATTTATACAAGGGAAGATGAAGGCTAAGGGGGATCAGAGATATGCCCCAGATTATGTGGCTGGTTACTGGCAGAGCACAGACTCAAGCACAAGCCTGTGTGGTTCCTGAGACAGTGTTTGCAGCTACTCCTGGGACTTGGTCTCAGGGTTAGGCTGGCCAATTCCTTAGGTGCCAAAGAGAAGGTGACACCACCCCAGCCCCTGGAGGTGGCTCAGGATGTGGCAGCCACAGCCTTTATCATCAGAAAAGTCTTCCTGGTGCCCGGAATGCCAGGAATGCAGGAATGGCCAGGAACCAGATGAACCTCTTTCCTTTCTTTAGAATCTTGAAGGTGAAGTACTGGAGACTTTAGGAGTGAATTGCTGATAGACTAGGCCTCAGTTTGAGGCAATCCCAATGGGGGATCCATTCCTTAACTTCAACCTCCCCTCCTCTCATGCATACACAGACTTCTCTACCTTGAATAGGGATAGGAGAGTTTATTTATCCTGGTAGCCCAACGCTTATTTATTCCTACGTTCCACACTCACTTCTGTGGCTCACTTTTATATCAGTCAGATAGTCTGTGAGCTCTTTGATGGCTGAGATTCACTTATGTAGCATTTTATCCTTTACACCTGGCGTTGTGATTGGGCATTTGGGTCCCCAAATGCTGTTGATTGAATAAGTGAGTGACCATGACAACCTCAGAAACTGGTATATGTGCCAGACTATTTTGGCATCCTGTCATTTAAGTACCAATGATAGCCTTGCCTAATATCACACAGGTTTCTTGTCAGGACAGAATGTGATCAGGAATTTCATTTCCTTGTCTTTGAATGTGTGTTTTGAGCTTGCCTCTAAGACGATGCCAGTCCATCAGTTCTAACTTATCTGAAACCTGGGTATAAATGAGCTCGAGTCTGGTGAATGGATGAGGAAATCACATGTGCATGAGCACACATGTCTACACCCATGCAGGGACATGTGTGATGTGTGGGACCATCATGAGAGGTTCCCTAAAGTCTACTTCATTAGATGCTGTGGGCTCTCAGGGGTATTGCACAGGCCAAGTCGTACTAAAGGGCTAAGAGACCTTGGGAGCTGAGCTGCTGCTTTTCACTCTGATTCTGTTTTTATGAGCACCAGAGATCTGGTATTATAAAATCCTGAGCTCCAAAGAGTTGATCCGGGAGTTACTGGAGTTATGAGGCGAAGGGAGAGATCTTCATTCATGAAGCCATGCTTTAGAGACATAGAGCTGTCTTCTTAGGGTGACTTCAGCCCCTGGGGAAGGGGAAGTGAACTGTCTAATCTCCTTTCTTTAGTGAGTGTAAGAGTACTTGCGAATGAGCAACCCCTGCCTACAAAAAGAAGTGTTTCCTTTTAGCAAATATGGGCTCCAGATACCCTGATCTTATCATCTGTTCTTGGGATCGAATCTGCCTTCTACTCTGAAAACTCACGTTAGATGGACTGTTTATGGGAGATTCCAGGAGTGGGAGGTGCTGGTGGGGCAGATTCTGCCACTGGTCAGGATTGCAGTAGGGGAGGAAGGGGTAGCTCTTGCACAAACGTTGTGGTGGTGGGTGTCCAACTGGGAAAACAGGCCGTCGAGGGCAAGAATGGACCTGAGTGGCAACACTGGCTGGGACAGGCTCTGCCATACAGCTCGGTGGGCGGCAGGGTCCCAGGCCACAAACGCCTGTTTGGGTGTCTACTGGCTTAGGGTTGGGTGCTTAGCTGTGACTGCTGTACCAGGTCTTGGCTTGCAGAGCTCTGTCATGGCCCTTGTTCAACACAGTCAAGTCCAAGAATGCAGACGTCTGTTCCCAGTAGTTCTGTGTGCACATCGAATGCTCCTCCCCTGGATGGTAAGGGCAAAATCTGGGCCTGTCTCTTCCCTTGAGACCTAGGGGACTCCAGATACCTCTGCAGTAGCAGATCGTGTTGTTCCTTCAGTCATGGAACCTGAGGTCTGAGGGTTTAGGAGAGCATGGGGCAGTGACTCAAGGCAGAAAGCATGGGGTGGACCCTGGACAAATAGGTGACAAGATGTTCTTTTCTGGGGCTGACTCTCTCTGGCTACCTCAGTGCTTAGTGGGAGGCCTGGCTACCCTGAAAGGGCCAGAGGAGGGACACAGGGAAGGCAGCTTGGTGGCTCTGATGGAGGCTTAAAAAGTAGCTCATGATTGTAAGTCATCTGTGCTTTTCTTTCGTATTGCCTTTTGAAATACAGGGAGTGGGTTATAGCAACTACTTAGATTTCTCAGTTTCCCTTGAGGTAGGTTTCTGAAAATAACAGACTTTTTTTTTTTTTTTTTTTTTAAACAAGCTTGTCTTGTCTACATACTGTTTATTTTCCCTGTTTCTTTCGTATGTGAGTTCACATCAGAAGAGATCAATTAAGTGGCTTTGGATTATAGTTTAGATAGGTTTTATTCTGTGACTTAAGATTTGATATATTGTTCTAGGGAATGAGCTGCAGAGTAGTTCTAACTCTTAGTGCTAACAAAGGTTGCCTCCTAGCTCACCTGTCATTTATAGGTATTGGGCTTAAAAAGTTGGGTCAAGTGGGAAAGTGCGTGGCTATGTAGTAAACATTATTAGTGGGGCTGATACCTAGTTTTCAATTCTTGAATTTAATTTGAACCATTTATGTTTGAGTCCCACCTTTCTTTCTGAGAAATAAAAGGGATAAACTTTAGCTTTTCTTTCTCAATTCAAAAAAAAACTAAGATTGTGGTTCTTGGGAAAGAAGAAATCCTAAGAGTAGAATAATATCTTTTTTGTTTGTTTTCTAACTTATTTCTGTGGCCAGTATGTCTCATTTAAAAAGTGCCATTTAAGTTTGCCATGATCACAGGAGAGCTCTTGCATTAGAGGACTTTTTTTGGTCATTAAGTTGAATTTATGGTTTAAAAAATTATAGTATGTCATGTTTTCTTTGCTTCTCAGTGCCTCAGAATGGAATTCGGCATTGTTCGTATACCGCTTCCCGGAAACATCTATATGTTGGTAAAAACACGAAGGTTATTTGCCAGGGTTTCACTGGTAAGCAGGTATGTGTGTTTGGATTTTTATTTTAAAGTACAGACTAGAGATACTTTAAAAACTATTTTTTATTTTTAATATCACAAACATGATAGCGTATGATTGTCACAGGAAAATATGCTGCGTAGCAGTGGGGTTGTATCTTAGGCAGGGGTTAGGTGCTATTGTCAGCTTAAAGATGAAAATTTAAACTCATCGTGAAAATTCCCAGGAGTATGCTGTATTGGAGACCCACACACTGTACATACAAGTACAACACTATTGGTTTTTCTTCAGTATTGAAACAGATGACCACTTCTTTGATTAAATCCTAGGTAAAGTAGACTGCTTTTGTTTAGGTCTTATGCAAAAAAAAAAAAAAAAAAGACCCAATGTTAACCATCAAGTAGACCTCCAGTGTGGAGAAGTGCTCAAGCCCAAAGAGGCTTGTGGGACAGAGACAGGCAGGAGAACCAGCACACTGACACTTCCCATCTTTACTCACTCTGGGGCCACGATCTGGGACTAGCAGGCAAGGTTGCCTGAAGCATTTTAATTTGCTCTCATTCATTTGTATTTAGCCTCTTTCCTGCTCCCTGTCTACACCATAGATTTCGCACAAGTTTGAGTATATTTGTGACATGATTCTACAATAAAATGCAACATAAGAATCTCCTTTCCCTCTTTCCTACCATACTAGTACTCAGGAATTCCTTCTGTTAATAACTTGGCATATATCCTTTTAGGTATTTGTCTTGTGCATACAAACATATTTATATTTATATAATGTATATTTTACGGTTTATTCTACAGAACTATATATATTTATATAACATAATACAGCATATAATACATGTAATGTATATGTCTGTAAAATAGATTCTTCAAAGTAAAATTGGATGTCAAAACTTTTGTGTATTTAAAATTTTAATAGCTTTTGCTAAATTGCTCTATAAAACATTTAAACAAATTTATACTTCCACATAGTAGATGCACAGAAATTTTTTTTAATGAGGGGATACTATCAAATCAGTTAGCATGTAACTACTTGTCTTAACCCAAGGTATCTCCTTCTTCGTTATTAAAGGCAATATGGCAAGATAAAAGCAGTTGATTATTATTTCTTAATTTAAACCTAGTGATTTTTCTGTAATTAAAATAATTTATATGGTTGGTTCTTCAGTTTTGATAATCTAGGATAGAGGTTAGCCAACTCATTCTATAAAAGGCCAGACTGTAAACATTTTAGGCTCAGTGGGTCATACAGTCTCAATTACAACTACCCACCAACATTTTAACAGCAAAAGCAGCTACAGAAAATATGTCAGTGAGTGGGTGTGGCTGTGTTCAACAGTGTCCCAAATTTACAAAGCCAGGTAGCAAGCCAAATCCCGCAGGCTATGGTTTGCCAATTTTTAATCTGCAGGATAATACTTAAATATCCACATTTCTATAACTTTAAAGTACTTAGGAATTGTTTCAAAATTACATAGTTTTTTCTTCAATACATTTAAATTATAGTTACATTGTTTCATGTAAAATATCCTTTTACTTTTTGACTTTTTTTTCTGAAATAACTGGACACACAGATGTGATTGCAGTGTACCTTTCGTCTTCTTCTTCTTCCACTCCTTTGCTATCTTAAAAAAAAATCCACCAGTAACAAAAAAAGAAACACCCATAAAACCCTGAAATTTTGTTCAGAGGTAAAATGGGTTTACTTATTCTGTTAGCCAGATATCTTATGAGTATCTCCTCTCGTACATTTTAAAGAAAGTGAATCCTCATTCCAGATTTGAAGTGCATTCTGTCATCCTCTTAACAATTGATATTATATTCAATATTTTATATCATTTTTTGTTATGTATTAATATTATTAGCATAGAATCCAATGCCTGATTAGCTCAAATTTCCTTCTTAAGTTTATTGTTTATAATTTTGTTTTTCTGTTTGCTAAACTTTATATGATCCTATGACATTTTAACCTCTGAACTTTTTTGTAAGAACCATTGTCCGTGGTGTAAGTATTGTTTAGAACTGTCCCTGTCTCTTAAATTAGGTGATGGTTTGTCTAGATATTGAAACCCAAGGTTGGTTTCAGTATCTTTCAGTTACCTGTGGTTACATTGTTTCTCATTTACTTTCCTTGTTTTTGTTTTTAAAGTAACTGAGAGCCTTAATTGCTTCAGATTTGTTGATTCAGATTCAGTTATTATAGAGGTAATGGGTAGGTCTGAAATTCAGAGCTTCTCTTTATGGTAAATCTGCATTTTGCCTCATTAGTTCATTTTTTTCAGTGTACATATTTTTCCACAGATGAATGAAAAATATTTGTATTTTAGCAACGCAGATTTCTAATGGGTGCTAGTCTAATTTGTTTCACTGGCTTTTATAAGTTGCTAAAATTACTTCAATTTCCAACTGTGTACTGGCTGGTGATAATGGGAAAACTAAGGAAAATACACTTATTTTGAATGGAAATATTATTCCTGTTTAGCACTACCATAGGACTATAATCTAGCCCCTTTTAATTTACTTGGCAGTGTAGCCTAGAGCAGTGCTTCTCGTACTCCCTGGAGTGAAAAACTAGCCTAAGTGTCTTTCTCTTTCTTTCTTTCTGTCTTTCTGTCTCTCTCTCTCTCTCTCTCTCTCTCTCTCTCTCTCTCTTGCTTAGCTAGCATGTAAGTGATCATGGTTTACTGCAGTCTTGACCTCCTAGGCTCAGGAGATCCTTTTGCCTCAGTTTCCTGAGTAGCTGGGACTATAGGCACACACCACCACGCCTGGCTAAATTTTTTGTTGTTGTTGTTTGTAGACCTGGGGTCTCGCTCTCTTGCCCAGGCTGGTTTAATTTCCAATCTAATGTGGATCAATACTTTTGTAAAATACAGTAAAGGTTGGAACATTGCCATTCTGCTATATTTGCAAAAATTTTCACTTCTGTTTTTGTTTTTTAAGATTTTTTTCTTCCCTCTCTCCCTTTTCCCCTTTGTCCTTCTCTCCTTCTCTCCTTTTCTATTATATCTTCCTTGCTTTCTTTTTTTTTGTCATTTTCTTTTTGCTCTTATGTCTTTGCAGATCAACAAGAGTCTGCAGACCGTACTTTGAATACCACTGTTTTAAGAGAGAAAGAGAGCACTAATCTGCGGTTCTTTCTAAAACTCTGTCCTTGACTTTAGATGAATCAGTTAGTGTGATTGGAGCCAAATTTCCTATTTTGAAAAAGAATTTGAATCAGAAAATTTCTGAAGTCCTTCTTAAGGCCCCAATTTTATACCTTTAATAGAACATGAATAGTTGAGTCAGCAGTTTTAGGTCCTTGAATGATCACATAAATGCATTCATTTTTTATTGACCACTTATTGAGTGCCTCCTTTGTGTAATGTATTGATTTAGGTGCCATATTGCAATGAACAGCGAGTATAGATGGAAATCATTGTCTTCATGGAATTTACATTTTAGTTGGGGGAGGGAAAACTATATGAACAAAATCAATTATGGGTATGTGGTATGTTAGAAAATTAACCAGGGAAAGGAGGAGTTTGTGCATGTGTGTGGAGTAATGGTGGTTAGGATGGGAGAGGGGGACACTATGTCAGGTGGTCTGGGAAGCCTGATTTCTGAGCAAGTTGTAAAGGAGACCTGGGAAAGACCCGGGTGGTTATCTAAGGGAAGTGTTTTGCATGCAGAGGGCACAGCAAGTCCATGAGGCAGGCTTGTGGCTGCTTTGTTGAAGCTGCACTGCCAGTGTGGCCAGAGTAAGATGTGCAGGCAGGTGTAGGGCTCTTATAAAAGGGGACAGGTTGTGTAATGACTTGTAGGCCAGCGTAAGGAGTTTGGCCTTTTCTGTGAATGAACTCTTAAACAATCAGAGCATTTGAACAGAGGTTGTGATGTGGTCCTTATGTTTTCACAGGATCACTCTGGCTACTGTGAAGATTAGATTGAAAGGGAGCAAGAGCCATAGTCCATCAAGAGTGGAGGTGATTTAGATCAAAGGGTAGTGGCCTAAGAGGGAGAAATTGCTGATTATGTTTTGGAGGTAGAGCAATGAGATTCACTCACAGATCTATCATGGGATGTAAATGAGAGAGAGGAACCAAGGATGGTTTTAGTGTTTTGGTCTGAACATGTCTAAGGAGTAGAGTTGTCATTAACTGAGATGGGATAGACTGTGGAGGGAAATGTTAAGGAATTCAGTTTTGGGCATATTGAGTTTGGGAGACCAACTAGTTCTCCAAGTGGAGGTGTCAGGTAGGCAATGTGAGTGTAGAGCTCAAGGTCTTGGCTATGTGAGTGGTGTGTGTATGGAAGGGGTTACCGTGTACGTGATACTTATTGCCTTGATAATGGGTAACATCACCAAGGGCATGAATTTAGATGGAAAAGAGAAGATGTTTAAGGAGAGAGAAGGAGTAGAGGAAAACCAGAAGTAGAGTCCCTGGAAGATTAGTGAAAAAAGACTCTTTCAGTTCCAGGAGCCTTTTTTTTTTTGCCATAACTGGATGGTGCTGGGGGAGGGTGTGGATAGAGGCCAGGGATGATGCAAAATGTCCTGTGAAACACCCAGTGACCTCCCATGAGAAAGAATTATTGTGTCCAAACTGTCAGCAATGCTGCAGTGGAGGAGGGAAGGTAGATGGTTGGGTGATACAGGATGTTGGCTGAAGCTGGGCTCGGTGGCTCAGCCTGTAATCCTGCGCCTTTGGGAGGCTGAGGTGAGTGGATTGCCTGAGCCCACGGGTTCAAGACCCGCCTGGGCAGTGAGACCTCATCTCTATAATAAATCAAAAAATCAGCCGGGCATGGTAGTGCATGCCTGTATTTCTGGCTACTTGGATGGCTGAGGCGGAAGGATCTCCGGAGCCCAGCAAGTCGAAGCTGCGGTGACCGGGAGCGGTCACTGCACTCCAGTCTGGGCGACAGAGTGAGACTCCAACTCAAAAAAAAAAGCAACAAACAAACAGGATGTTGGCTGAGCAGCAATCATTCACGACAAGTGAGACCAGCTAGCCTGGTTTTGGGTTTTTTTTCTGGCCACTGTTTGGCTGTTCATGTGTGCTCTTAGAGTAGTGGAAAATCATGTCAGTTGAAGTGAGAGAGATCCAAGGTTGGTGTGTGAGTGTAATGATCTACCATGGATTTTAAACTTAACAAAGAGGAGTGTGAGCATGTGAAGAGTTGAGAAACTTTGAGAAGGAGATGTTCTTTTATGTGAGCTCCAGGATGTTTCTGATCATCAGCCAAACTTGAAAATGGAATAAAAAGAGATCCTTTTTAAAAAAAAATTTTTTATTATAGTTGTTTTGGCTTTGCAGAGGTCTGTTTTGCTTCAGGGTTCAAAACTGGTGAGGAAGTTAATGGGAATGCTGGTTAGTTGGTATTGTCTGGGAAAGTTAACTCACTCGTTTTTCTTTTCCTAGGTTGCTTCTTCCCAGCCTGCCATTTCTTATGGGTCTTGTGCTTTTCCCCTCAGGGCACCTTTCATAGCCAGCAGGCCTTGGAATACGGCACTCAGCTCGTTGGAGGAACCACTCCAGGGAAAGGAGGCAAGATGCACCTGGGCTTACCAGTCTTTAATACTGTGAAGGAGGTAACTGATGGCACCTGAGTTTGTAACGAGAAGAGTGGGCATTCCTTGAGTGAAGATCTTAGTTGTGTCCCCTTTGGAAAGTTACTTAGCGTTTGAAAGTTCAGTAGCCTAGAGAAATTTGTATTGCAGTCAAACACAGTGTGTCAATTTTGTTTATAGGGGTGCATCTGCTATTTAGGGAAGAAGTGCTGTGGCCAGGCTTCTGCTAGGCCTGTTATCCTTTCCTTGCCTTTCTTCTCTAATGTGTTAGTAGTACAAATGTCAGCACGCTCCCTAAGCTTTCCTGAATGTGGACTGTGTGGCAGGCAGTGTGCCAGGAGCTTTGTACACATTGCCCTGCTCCGGTCTCACCACAACCCTCTGAGGTGGGTGCTGGATTCATTCCTACTTAAGGACAAGGATACCATCAGTCCAGAGAGGTTAAGGATCTTTCCTGTGATCTCACAGCTGATAAGTGGTTGTGGTAGGATGGCTCAGAGTTAAAGAGTGTGGTCCTGTGTGAACAAACTAAATCATGAGTCACACTGACACATCACAGGGTCCTAGTCTCTTCTCCAAGTTGCTGGTGTATTTATTTTTTAATTTTTATTTTAAAGATGTGGGGTACAATTCAGGGTTAGGTACATAAGTGATCATAATACAAGTAAAGTTTGGGTATCCTTATTGATGTTATGTGCCCCGCCTCCCCCCCCCCCCCCAGCAGTGTCCCACTATTGCCAATAACTTTCTTATAGTATTAATGATATATGTTCAGGGTCCACTTATGAGTGAGTACATGTAGTACTCAGATCTTTGTTTCTGTGATAAATCACTGAGTATTATAGACTCTGAATCCTTCCAAGTTGCTGCAAAGTCTGTACTTTTGTTTTTCTTTAGGCTACATAATATTCCATTATGTATATGTTCCACTTTTTTTTATCCATTCCACTTTTGATGGACAGCACTGCTGGTTCTGTGTTTTTGCTATTGTGAATAATCATGTTGCTGATTTCTTAATAATACTTTTAAAAGATTTTTTTTTCTTGAGTTGGAGCCTCACTCTGTCGCCCGGGCTGGAGTGCAGTGGCATGCTCATGGCTCTTGCAGACTCTACTCGCTGGGCTCAGGAGATCCTTCTGCCTCAGTCTTCCAAGTAGCTGGAACCACAGGCGTGTGCCACCATGCCCAGCTAATTTTT